AACCCCGAAACCATGTGCTTCCATCAAAGTCTTTTTTATGAATAAATAAAGATAAATTCTTTAGAAAAAAAGAGAATGTTTAGGGGTAAGGTTGGGTTAGGTTAAGAGCAGTAGGTCAGAAATTAGGGATGGTTAAAGGACGGTGGTTTATGTAATTTACAGAAGAAGAAAGGAAACAGTGTTTTGTGGTAAAGGAGACAGCAAAAAGAAGTAAGACATGGTCTTTGAATTTGACAATTAGTATTCATTATTGACCATATTCTTGTTCTGGTTCTAAAACTTTTTATCAGCATTCAGAATGATCTGTTAATTCAGCGTTAGTAATCACTCCAACCTTCTTGTCAACTTCAGTCAATTTGTCTTCCTCTCAATTGCTATAATTGTTGCTAGAATGTTAAAATGTAGTTTCTAATAAAATCTATTTTACTAACTTGATGTAAGGATACAGAAGGGAAAAATTCCATTTTTTGTTCCCATGACTCACCAAACGGTTTGAGTGTTATCTTAATTTATATAAATCCTGTACAATCTCTGACACATTTTTATGTTAAAACTTGAATTTTTACTTAGTTCTCATATATTTCCTAGCTATTCTGTTAGTTTTACTGTTTCCAGTTCAGTCAGAAGATCCCAAGACAAGGATTAGTACCCAAATGACTTATTGAGAAAGATTCCCCATGGGAGCAAATGTGAAAAGGAATGGAAATAATGTAGGAAGATAAATAGGGAATGGGAAGAAGAAGGCAATAAAGAGAAGAAGATATAGAGAAGGGAAGGGAAAAAAAGGCTGTAGAGTCATCTAAGCTGAAGTCATACATGAGGTTCCCTGAGCCTTATCCCCTGGAAGAACTCTCTAGTACAGGCTACAAATATTAATGCCTCAGGAGAATGTACATTCTTCAGAATTTCTGGCTTGTAGGTAAAGTGGCTCCAAGATGTCTACAGAAATCTTTTGATGCAAAGGTACAGGGAAGAAAGAAAAGCACATGAATGTACAAAGAAAGCTACATAGATCAAGGTCAAATACCAGTAGAAAGTTTTTCTATGGTTCTACTTCAAAGGTTGCCATGAAATGTCAAAGCAAAACATTTTAATAAAGTATTCAAAGACCTGGTATCAGAAAGGCAAAAGAGAAGAACAAAAATGGATGTAAAAAGAGATCTTAAAGCTTGTCCTAGAACACATAGTCGTTGTTGTTATTTTCCATCAAAGTTGTCTATGTCATTTGTATAACAGCTCTGAACCCTGCTCTGTCCTGAGCCAGTCTCGCTGACTGATAAACCTACCTCCATTCCCACAGTTGCTGTATCAGTCCATCTCATCTGGGGTCTTCCTCTCCTGTGCTGTACCTCTCTACATCACAAGCATGATGTCCTTCTCCATGGATTGGTCCCTCTTGGGCACATGCCCAAAGTATGTGAGATGGAGCTTCTCTTGCACTCCGGCCTACCTTGTCCAGCACCTCCCTCACTGAGCTACCACTTAATATGATGACTTAGGCCACAAGTCATTTATTTGATGTCTTGCTCTTAGCACTGCTACTAGTCTCTCATGCTGCTGCCTGTCTTGCATTTGCAATGTAAGTCCAAATCCCATGTACTAGGTTCAGGGAAAGATTTTTGTCTGAAACAGTACTGGGGAAAAGTTTTTGCCCTTGAGCTTCTGCTCCACAACTGTCATTTTGTGACTATGTTTTTCGTTTTGTACCACACTGCTGTCACAATAGGATAATTTCCAAGCTGAGGGCTATGTCTTCTTTAGAGCTGGTATGTTTGTGGTGTTTTGGTTACTACCACTGTAATAGGTTTTGACATCAGAGTGTACTATGCTTCCAAGTTCATTTTTGTTTTCAGAATTGCTTTGCTTATTCAGGGTCTCTTTCCAAATAAACAACAATTTCCCTTTTGATATCCTTGAAACATGAATTTAGTATCTGTATTAGGATTGCATTGAATATGTAGATTGCTTATGGTAGGATTGTCATTTTCACAATATTAGGTCTTCCTATCCATGAACAGGAAACATTTTTCCAATTATTTAGGTCTTTTATTATGTCTCGCAGTCTTTTGTGTCTTGTTAGGTTCATTCCCAAGCATCTCAATTTGTGGTTGGCTATTTTAAACTATAGAACAATATCATAGATTTCACATGCGAGAACATTCTACTGAAGATTATCCAAAAATGACTGGAAGAGCACATCAGCACAGAACTGCCAGAAGTTCAGGCTGGCTTTAGAAGGGGTCGTGGTACTAGGAATATTGTAGCAAATGTTAGTTGGATCTTAGCTGAAAGCAGTGAATACCAGAAGAATGTCTGTGTTTCATTGATTATGCAAAGGCGTTTGACTGTGTGGACCATAACAAACTGTGGCTGACTCTGAGAAGAATGGGAATCCCAGAACACTTGCTCATGCTAATGAGAAACCTATACTTGGACCAAGAGGCAGTCGTCAGAACAGAGCAAGTAAACAGTGCATGGTTCAAAATTGGGAACTGTGTATGCCAGGGATGTGTCCTGTCTCCATACTTTTTCAACCTGTATGCTCAGCAGATTATCTGGGAGACTGGGCTCTATGAGGAGGAATGTGGCATCAAGATTTATGGAAGATCTACCAACAATCTACGTTATGCAGATGACACAACCCTACTTTGCTAGAACTGAGGAGGACCTGAAGCACTCGCTGCAGAGGGTCAAGGACTGCAGCCTCCAATATGGATTGAGGCTCAATGTCAAGAAGACAAAGATTCTTACCACTGGACCAACTGGCAGCATCAGGATGGATGGTGAAGAGATTGAAATTGTTCACAGCTTCAGTTTGCTTGGCTAGACAGTCAACACTCTTGGCAACAGCATCCAGAAAATTAAAAGACATGTTACAACGGGAAAGTCTGCTGTTAGGGACCTCTCCAAAATACTGAAGAGCAATGTTGTCTCTCTGAAGACTAAGGTGAGTCTGATACAGGCCCAGGTCTTTGCAATCATTTGCTATGCGTTGGAGAGTTGGACATTGACTAGGGAGGATAGAAGGAGAATTGATGCCTTTGTGCTGTGGTGCTGGAGAATAGTATTGAGGGTACCATGGGCTGCTAACAAAACAAAGATTCATCCTGGAGAGGGTTTAAACTGGGCTGCTTCTTGGAGGCAAGGATTCTGAGCCTTTGTCTGACATAATTTGGACATGTTGTAAGGAGGGACTAGCCCTTGGAGAGAGACAGCACAGGAGGGGAAGACCCTCTATGAGGTGGATTGATTCGGTGACTGAGGTAATTGGGATGGGTGTATTGTAGACAGTGCGATTGTCACAGGATAGAGCAGGGTTTAGGGCTCTTGTACATGGGGTCGCTATGAGTCGCAAGCAACTTGACGGCACATAATAACAAAACATTGCTTTCTTGGCTTCCTTCTCAGTTCTCTTTCTTACTGTAGAGGAATCTTACTCATTTTTTTAATATTTATATTGTATCCTGCCACCCTACTAAATTTTACTAAGATTTTGCTAAGGATTTTTACATCTATATTCATGAGCAGTATTGATTTTCTTTATGGTGATATCTTTGCCTCTTTTTGATATTAAGTTTTTATGCTTGTTATATAGAATGACTCCAGGAGACAATACACTTTTTGATTTCTGACTGCTCTTGTGAAGGGTGTTGACAGTGCATCCAATCCAGGTGAAACTGTTAACTTATCTCCTTTCCATCTATCATGATGTAGGCTATTGGCCACGTGGTGATGATTTTTGTCGTCTTGATGTTCAGATGAGATCCATATTGAAGCTGTACTCTTCGAAATGTTCTGTAGCAAGCATTTCAGGTCTTTCTCACTTTTAGCAAGCAAGGTTGTGTCAGCTACGTAACAGGTTGTTGATGAGCTTTTATCTGATTCTAATACCATATTTTTCTTCAGAAATTAAACATCTTTAGTAAGTTGTTCTGCATACAGATTGAATATGTACAGAGAAAGGATACAGCCCTTGTGTATAACTTTTTTCATGTTAAAGAAGCAATGTTCCTAATGATACGTAAATATATGATGTGAAAAGTAAAAGTTTTTGAAATCCAGTTCCAAAATATATCCATATGTGCAATTAACGGTTTCTGAAAACCTGTTAAAGGGTCAGCTATGGGTTGGTTCCAACTCAACAGCACACAACAAAAACATAACCAGGTAAGAGTTTCACTATGCAAAGGAATGAGTTTGATTCTGCATTTTAAAGCACTTCACAAAATGTGATATGGCTGCCCACGGTGGACAGTGTTTGGTGGAGCTCCCAGATTAAAACAGGCTTGGAAAAAAAACAAAAACAAACAAACCCAAAACCAAAAACAACAGGCTTGGAAGCAGGAGTAGCATCTATTTCCGAAGTAACTTGCCTTGGGAAACTCTATGAATTTAGAGAAACTATGAAAGTTAAACAAGTGTTCAAGTCTTTCATTCATAGCGTCACTATGAGTCCTCTATGACTCTAGGGCACTTAACAACAACAAAGCATTTCACTAAGTTCCTTGTATTTCTATGCATAACTGAATATTTTTATGCAATTTGTAAATATCTGTATCTAGATTTTATTACACATACAATTCAATTTAGCAACGTGATAAATGTATCTTTGCAAAATAGAATATATGAATCTATATACTGTTTCCTAAAAACTGTATAATACTCTTTGTATGCCAGTTCCTTTATTTTGTTGTTGTTTTTGTTGTTAAGCCCTAATACAGACATCCTGAAATTTGTTCCTTTAAATTCTTCTTAAGAAAATATAACTTCCTTATACTAAATGGAATATTACACCTCAAGTAATGTAAACATGCCTTTAAGCATGGCAACAACCTTTGTTTTCCAATTGGCTGATGAGACCATTCAATCACATGTAAGATAGCGTTACTTAACAATGGGTTTGGCAGTTTGAACCAATAGAATATTGAGTTCTGTCGTGACGTCAGAGTATTCAGCTGCCATTCTCACTGTCGCCAGGACACTGCTGAAGTGCATCTGCTATGGCTGAACCTCGAAGTGACCCTTCCCTTAGCCGGAAGGAACCAAGAAAATCTGTCTCCACAACAAAGAGGAGGAAGAAGTCGAGATATCAGCGCCTCTACTGTAGGTACAAGTTTGCCATTGGTATTTATAAAGTCTTAAAAAAAGTCCACAGTGACCTGAGGATTTCGTGCAAGGCTTTGACCTTCCTCAATTTCTTCCTGATGGACGTCTTCCAGCGGATCTCTGAAGAAGTTACTGTCCTGCTCCGTTATAGCAAACATTCAACAATAACCTACAGGGTGATCGAGACTGCAGTGCGCCTGTTGCTGCCAAGGAAGATGGGCCAGTTCGCGGTGTTGGCAGGCAAGAATGCCATTGATAGATACCACTGCAATCAGTGAGGACTATGAACAGATCTCAGAAGTGGAACCCGCTAAAGTGAATTTTAATTTTGCAAGAAAATAAATATTTTTAAATCTAATTATTTGTGGTGGTGGTCTTCCAGTCTCTATGCACCGAATTTATACTCAAGGTACAGATGGGCTGATGGGACAGGGTGGTCTCCCCATGGCTGACCCCAACTCTAGGGCCTTCCAGATTCTTCCAGCCCCTTCCCACAACCACTATGTTTCCACCAAGGAATACTGCTCTTTGAGCATTGGGGGGGCGGGGGGGGGATAGGGAGAAGAGTGCTGTGTGCTTGTTAAGCACCCATTGCCTGGTGTTTACACTTACCTTCAGTCCCAAGATGGGTGTCCTCAGGCTCTTGTGCCAGTTGGGGGTTAGGTGGCTGTCAAACAGCTAGCTGTGTGCACATACTCCTGGCCCCCTTGGTCCTGTGTGTTTGCATAGGGATGACCACAGAGTGGATGATGGCTTTTCCCTGTTATGCCTTGGCATTTCCTTTAGCCCCAGGAAGTTCCACTGTAAACTAGGCACGTACTTTATGAGACCTCTGTGGAAGGGTGGTGATGAAGGCTGAGTGAGAGAACAAGTCCGGTGGAGTGTTTTTGTAATATGTGTTGTAGTGAATTCCCTGCCTCTTCTCTCCCTGGTGGCATATTAGATTAAGTGCTGTGCTGTTAAGTCAAAGGCCAACAGTTGGAATCCACTGGGCATCTTGTGGGAGAAAGATGAGGAAGACTCTTTTTGTCACAATTAACCATTTACAATAGCCAACCACAAATTGAGATTCTTGGGAATGAACCTAACTAGAGACACAAAGGCATAGACAAAACTACAGAACATTTCTGCCATATACAATGAAAGACTTAAATAATTGGCCAAATGTTCCCTGAGCATGGATAGGAAGACCGAATATTATGAAAATGACAATCCTACCAAAATCAATCTACAATACAGATACCAAATTCATTTTTCAAGGAACTCAAAAGGGAAGTTGTAAAATTTATTTGGAGAGGAAAGAGACCTCAAATAAGCAAAGCACTTCTGAAAAAGAAATGAAGTAGTACTCCCTGACCTCAAAACCTATCTATTACACAGTGGTAGTGACCAAAAGGGAAGAACACATTCAACATTTCTCAAGCTGGAAGAACTGAAAAGCAAATTTGAATATCAAGTTGTAATACTGAAAGATTCAATGAGTATGTGGGTAAAATATTGAATGATGCCAGAAGCACCAAAAGAAGATGGAAGGAGCACACAGAGTCATTGCACCAGAAGACATTGGTCAACACTGAGCCATTTCAGGAAGTAGCATATGATCAACAACCAACTGTATAGAAGGAATGAGTGTGAGCTGCATGAAGATCATGGAAGTAAATATGGTCACAGGAATTGATGGTTTCCCAGCTGAGGTGTTTCAGGAAACTGATGCATTCCTGGAGGTGCTCACAAGTGTATGCTAAGAAATTTGGAAGACAACTACATGGCCAACTGAATAGAAGAGATCCATACTTGTTACAATTTTTTTAAATGGAGGATGGTCCAAAAGAGTACAGAAATTATAAAAATGTCGCTAATATAGCATGCTTGTTTGTTAAGGAAGCCAGTGAAAATCTGGGAGAATGAGCATTACTTGATCAGGAAGATTAGAAGGTGGTCTCAGATCCTGTCCTATGTGAAGCCATGGGATTCCTGACCATGAGTTAGGATAGAACAAGGTGTACTCAATACTCTGGCTCTGCATGGAACCCTGGGGTTTATGATGCAGGTCTGAGACTAGAGAGGCCAAATGAAGGGAAGAAATACTGAACTAAGAGATTGAAAGAAGATTTCAAAGAGCAAGTCAAGAAAGCAAAGCTAAGTATTATAAGGAAATGTGCAAAGAGCTAGAGCTAGAAAACCAAAATGAACGAGCTCTGAGACCAAGCAGGATATTTTCCTTAGATATATTTTTGATGATGATGTTACTGGATGCCATCAAGCCCTTTACCACTCATAGCAACCCTATGAACAACACATCAGAACTTAACTCGATGCTGCACCATTCATGCTAATTTCACAGCCTTTTCTGAATTTAGCTTTAATTTCTATCAATTCCTATTCAGTGTACTATTCCAGTCTTTTTTTTTTTTTTTGGTGGAGACAAGCTGTCTTTATTGCTGGGGAGCTGGGGCAGCTGGTGCTCAGGAGCTCTTCTTGGGGCGGGTTCGCTTCCTCTTCACCATCACAGGCTTCTTCTGGCTGCGTCGATGCGCTGGCCCTGCGGATGTTTTTGCGGATCATGTGGCGGATGCTGCTGAGCGTGGCCCGGGCATTCTTGTGGATGGTGGTCCGCACGTAGGAGGTGGCCGGCTTCCTCTGGCCTGACCTCCGCTTCATCACCACCACGACCCCCTTGTTGTCGGGGGCCGGCTCCACGCCCACGGTCTTGTGGTGGATCAGCCCATTGTAGCGGAAGGAGTTGCGGGCTTTGAGGTTATTGAGCTCCGTGCTATAAGTCTGCTTGTTCCTTTTAATCAAGAAGCTGGAGCAGTTACGCATGACCATCCATTGCAGATGGGCAGACATGGCGGCAGCTTTGCTCTCCGAAGCCGCTCGGGACTCTTCGGCTATTTCCGCCCACCCGATGCGTAACTCTCGGGAATCTTCGGAATCCTTCGACTCAGGAACAAAAAGGGGGAGGTTTCTGACAAAACTATTGGGCCCCTCAATAGTTTGGCAGTTTTTCATAACCTCTCGGCTGAGTTTTCCGAGCGGTCTGACTTTTTCGAGTCCAGTTCTGCACCGATTTCCTTCCAGTATTGTCAGAAGTCCTGGACACTATGTTTGGCATGTGATGGGCGCCCCATATTATTCTTATTTTTTCTTTTTTAAATTAGAAAAAATTTTTGCTTTTTTTTAAATGAATGTTTGAATTAGCAAACTATTAAGCTCCGCTCTGGGGTGTTCAGGGGCTGCCAGTCTTTGTGCGTAAGCGGTGTTTTTCGAGGCTCGTTTGGAACTTTTCTCATTTTTAATAATCTTATGCATTTTTAATAATCTTATGCAAGATTTTACTTGCATGTGATACTGAGGATATTGTTCAATTATATCTGCACCTTTTCTTGGAATGGGAGCAAATAATGGTTCTCTTCTAATCAGTTGATAGGTCTTTTCAAAAATTCTTTCCATAAACTAGTGAGCACATCTATGGCTGCATCACTTGACCAAAACACCTTTATTGGTTTCCCATCAATTACTGAGAACTTAGTTTTGTAAATTCCTTCAGTACAGCTTGAACTTCTTCCTTCATTGACATTTGTCCTTGATCATATGGTGCTTTCTGAAATGGTTCAGTGTCAACCAATTCATGCCGGTACAGTATGTGTGTATTCCTTCAATCTTCTTTTGATACATCCTGCATTATACAGTATTTTCCCCATGGAATCCTTCACTGTTGCAACTTGAGGCTTGATTCTGTTCTGTTTTTGTAACTTGAGAAATTTGCTTCCCTTTTGGCTTTCAACCTCTAGCACTTTGTACTTTTAATTATAATGCTTTGCCCTCTCAAGCTGTCCTTTGAGATCTGTTCATGTCTCTTGCCTCATCATTCGTTCCCTTTGCTTTGCCTTCCATAAGTATGATGTTAAGTACAAGTTTGCTTGATTCCACAGTTAACACTCATGGTACCAGAAGCCATGAAATCAGAAGATGAATTGTATTGGAGAAAATCTGCAGTCAGGGACCTCTCTAGAGTGCTGAAGAATGATGGTGTCAGTCTGACACTAAGGTGCACCTGTTCCAGGCCATGGTCTTTGCAATTAGGTGCTATGCATCAGAAAGCAGGGCAATGACTAAGGATGACAGAAGAGGAACTGACTGATGCCTTTGAGATGTGGTGCTGGGGAAGAGTATTGAATATACCATAGACTGCTAGGAGAACATACAGGTTCTTCTTAGGGTGAAACCAGGATTCTTGTTGGAGGTAAGGATTCTCAAGCTCCATGTGACATACTTTGGGCATGTTGCAAGGAGAGACCAGTCCTTGGAGAGAGATGTCATGCTTAGGAGAGTTGAGAAATAGACCAAGAGAGGAAGACGCTGGATGAGATGGATAGACTCAGTGACTGGGGTAATGGGAGTAGGTGTGTCAGAGACTATAAGGTTGGCTCAAGATAGAGCAAGGTTCAGAGCTATTGTACTATGTCACTATGAATAACAAGTGACATGACAGCACATAGCAATAACAACAGCTGTTGAATTGAATCCAACATATAGCTGACCCTCCAGTTCATTCCCAGAGATAGTGAATTGCATAGGAGGAGATAGCCCATCTTTATCCCCCATACTAATTTTATGGATTTGAACTGTATGCCTTCAGGTTGTCAACTCACTTCCCTATCCACTAGGCCACCCAAGCTCCATATATACTTCTAGAAAATAGTATTAAATGATAACCAGTAAGCTCTGATTAGATACTACCATCATGCTCAAGATCTTTACTGTTTCCCAAAGATTAATTTTGCTCATTTTAGAAAAAAGACCATTTTAATATTTCTCAACCCATCTGAAAATCAAAATCCCCCTTTCTCTTCTTTCTCACATTTATCCAATAGCACTGCCTTCTTCTCCCCCAAAGATTATTGTCATCAGAATAGCTTGTCCTCGACTTCCCAGTGCCATGATTATTGCTTAATAACTTACCATGTGATCATTATTAGTGTGTTTATTGAAGTCTATTCTATTTCAGACTCTTTCTGAGATCAGGATCCTCCTTCAAGTACATTTTTTATAAGTACTTTTATTTAAGTCTCTATTGGGAATGATTTTTAGTTATGGTGCTGGAAAAGAGTCTTGAACATACCATGGACGACAAAGAAAACAAATAGCTCTGTCTTGGTAAAGATGAAACTACGTTTCTTCTTAGAGGCTAGGATTTTGAAGCTATGTCTCACATATTTTTGAGCATGTGTTGAGGAGGGACTGATCCTTGGAGAAGGACTTCAAACTCAGAAGG